AAGTCTGTTAAAATATTTATGTTTACTGCTAGATGATGGGACGTGGGTGATTTTTTTAAAAAAAATAAATTTCTTAATTTTAGAACAGCTTTAGATTATAGAAAATTTACAGATAGTTACGAAAGTTCCCTTCTAACCCATATCCAGTTTCCCCTATTATTAATATCTTACATTAAAATGGTACATTTGTTATAATTAATGAACCAATATCTCAATACATTATTATTAGCTAAAGTTTATATACTTTATTCAGATTTCATTAGTTTTAATCGCAAGTTCTTTTTATGTTCCAGGATCCCATACAGGACACCACATTGTGTTTAGTTTTCATGTCTCCAGAGGATCCTCTTTTGGCTGTGACAGTTTGTCAGACTTTCTTTGTTTTTGATGACCTTGACAGTTTTGAGGAGTATTGGTCAGGTATTTTGTAGAATGTCCCTCAATTGGAAATTGTGTGATGTTTTTCTCATGATTAGACTGGGGTTAGGAATTTTTAGGAGGAAGAACGCAGAGGGAAAGTGCCATTTTTATCACATCATATCAAGCGTATATTCCATCAAAGTGACTTATCACTTCGAACCTTGGGATCACTCAGGTAAAGTAGTGTTTGTCAGTTTTCTCCATTGTGAAGTTAATCTTTTTACCATCTTCCATACTGTCTCTTTTGTCTCATAAGTGATTATGTGTGGCTTACATTTAAGGGGTGGGGATTTAAGCTCCACGTCCCTCCCGCTTGAAGTTGGAATCTATATAAGTTACATGAAATTTTCCTGCACAAGATATTTGTCTATTTATCTATTCATTCAATCAATCCTTTATTTATATCAATATAGACTCATGGACCTTTCTTTTTTACAATTCACTACTACTTTGTTGCTCAAATTGTTTCCACTTTGCCCATTGGGAGCTCTTTCACTTAGCTCCTGTTTTTCTTTGACACCCATTATTGGGGGGTGCTGTTTTCCTTTTCCAAAAAGTATCCATTAATCTCTGGTACCACAGAATGCTTCAGGCTCATCTTGTATATCTTTCCTGCACCAGCCTTCGAATCAGCCACTTCTCCAAGAAGCCCTGGTTTATTTTATTGGAGAGTGGTATGAGAAACAAAGATCTGGATGCTAGATATGCTATTGGGGTGCTATTTGGGAGTCATTGCTTCTAATTGCTTTCAGCCAACAGAGCAAGAAAATTACATGAGTGTACACTAATCCATGTATATGCATATCTGTGAATAGGTCTTTATATAACTGTCTATATCTATATTAAGCTTAATAGGAATTTATATTGATGCCTCCAACTCTAATCTATTGTCATATAGATCATTGTAGCTCCTTTCCCTATTTATCTGTAACCTCCCATTCCAATAGTGAAAAACCTGACTCTATGGGTGATTTTTAAATTGCTTTTTTATGATAAAACATACTAATTTTTTGTTAGAAAAATTCATTTAAAGGAAGGAAAAGAGTATGATTGTTCAATTTCAATCCTGTGAAAAGCTAATGTTAAATACTATTAGGGATTCATTAGAAAGATAAATTATATGCTAAAAAGAAGGAAAATGTTACCAATATTCCAGATCAACCTACACAAAATTAATTTTCACCAAAACATCAGGGGATATTGATCACATGATAATTCTTGCAAATATGATTTAAAATAAAGCTTAACATAAAGCTGAAAGCAGTGTTTAGGGGCCAGTTAGTAACAACACATTAATTGATGCTGTTTATTTCATACAGAATTGGTCTTTTCTGATAAATCTTGGTCAATACCAGTTATCAGGACTTGGAATCAAGTTGGGACTTATTAGCTTGCCCTTTTGCAAGGCAGGACACCAGAAGGACCTGTACTTGGACATAGACAGCCGAGTTCTAGGTGAGTTCCATAATTAGCTTCCTGGGTGTTTTGGGTGAGACACCTAACTCTCCGATTCTGTTTCTTTATTCATAAACTTGGATTACATTAACCCACTTGTTCAGTTCACTCACATCACTATTCACCAAAATTCTGTAAGTCTGCTGTATCAATTAATGCTGTAATACTAGCAATTCTAACACAGAAGTCTCCAAAAATGAGTGGTATAATACAAAGTTTATATCTTGTTCAAGGTTAACGGTCACTGTGTATATTTCTGGTCAGCATGGGGGAAGTTAGAAGACAGAGCCCTCGATTCCACAAAGTCATTCATCCATCTTCAACGTATGACTTTTTTTTT